TGGGGAGGTGGTCAGTCATTGTTCTAGCAAGTATTTGAGGCTATAGTGGTCTGTTTTGACGACGAAGGGTCTGCCCCACAAGTACGGCCTCCAGTGTTGTACTGCCTTGGCTAGGACAATGAGCTCGCGTTCATAGGCGGGTAATTTGAGATGGCGGTCAGCTAGCTTGCGGCTGAAGAAGGCTATCGGGTGCCCTTGCTGTTGAATGATGGCTCCTATGTCTGTGCCGGAAGCATCACACTCGACTGTGAACTCAAGATCAAAGTTTGGTAGCTGGAGGACTGGTGTGGAAGAGAGGGCTTCCCTTAGGCCTACGAAGGCTGCATCGGCTGTGCTGTCCCAGTGGAAGGCATTTTTCTTGAGCAGGTTGGTAAGCGGGGCTGCTAACAGGCCGTAATTCTGTACGAACTTTCGGTAGTACCCTGTTAGCCCTAGGAACCCACGGAGGGCCTTGGTGGATTGTGGCCGGGGCCAGTCCTTAATAGCCTAAATCTTGGTGCTGTCCACAGTTACACCTTGCCCGCTGATTACATGTCCAAGGTAAAGGACTTGGTGTTCCCCAAAGGAACACTTGGATCTTTTAAGAAAGAGTCGGTGCTGCTTTAGGAGCTCGAGCACGACCCGTAGGTGTTGAATGTGTTCCACCCACGTCTTACTATAGACCAAGATGTCGTCGAAGAAGACTAGTACATATTTACGGAGGTGGGAGTGGAACACTTCATTCATCAGGGCCTGGAATGTGGAAGGGGCGTTGCAGAGGCCGAATGGCATAACTAGGAACTCGAAATGGCCATGATGCGTCCTGAAGGCTATCTTTTCTACATCTGCGGAAGACATCCTGACCTGGAAATAGCCTGACCTGAGGTCTAATTTTGAGAAGAATTGTGCGCCGTTGAGTTCGTCCAATAATTCGTCTACGATGGGGATCGGGAACTTGTCCTTGACGGTTCGGCTGTTGAGTTCCCTATAGTCTACACAAAATCTCCAAGTCCCATCCTGTTTGGGCACCAACAGAACTGGGGASGAAAAAGGGGAGTGGYTGGGCCGAATGATCCCCTGCTGTAGCATATYTRCGCATTGCTTCTCTAACTCATCTTTCTGTCGGTGGGGGTAGCGATAGGGCCGAACAACGACCGGGTCTGACCCTACAATTAGAGGGATCCGGTGGTCACAGGCTCTAGGAAGTGGGAGGCCCTTGGGTTCTTGGAAGACGGCCGAGTAATCGGTGAGAAGTCTCTCCACATCCGATGTGCGCGAATTCTCCCCCTAAAGTGCATGCAGTTGTGTCTTGGTCCTTGCCCGGGTTCCCTACCAAGTAACCGGTTTGCCATCTAATTGGAAGGTCATGGTCAGGGCAGCGAAGTCCCACAGGATTGGGCCTAGCGTGATCAGCCATTTGACACCTAGGACGGTGTCAAATTCGTCCAAGAACAGTACAAATAAATCTGCTTGGAAGGATTCTTTTTCAACCTGAATTCTGGTGCTCTTGCAGATATCGGGGCTGTGGACTCTTTCCCCATTCGCCACGGCTACCTATAGTTGTGGCCTGACTTCCATGGGCAACTCTAACTTGCGAGCTGCCTGATTGCTGATGAAATTGTGGGTGCTTCCGGAGTCTACCAAAATGCGCACGGGTTTCCCCGTCACTAGTGCCCTTAGTTGCATCGTCTGGGAGGTTCTGATCCCTGTGATTGCATGAAGTGAGATCTCGGGTTCAGTTGGTGACGACTCTTCATCCTCTTCAGTCTCATCTACTAGAAGGCAGAGTAGTTTCTTGCATCTATGCCCTGTGGAGTATAGATCATCACAATTGAAGCACTGCCCCTTCGCGCGCCGTTCTGCCATCTCGGCTCGGGACAGACGCCGGATGGAGGGTGACACCCTGCTACTCCCTGTCTGTGATACTGTTCTGGAGGGTTACCGGTGTGGGTCCTTTGCTCCCTGTTGGGCACAGGGGTAGACACTCCCGCTGGCCTTGACGGCGCCCAAGTCGTGGCTGGCCGTCTAATGCTAAAGGGTCCCTGAGTAAGCTGCATCTTCCATTCAAAGGCACGGGCGAGGTTCATTGCCGTAACCAGATTTGGGGGGTGCTGCATCTCTACGTCTACCCTTAAGGGTTCTATCAGCCCTGCTGTGAACATGTCCACCTGCTGATCCGGTCTAACCGTGGCCGCTCTGGCAAGCAAGGTTTGGAACTGGCGTTGATATTCAGCCACGGTTCCCATTTGCTCGAGATTGATTAGCTCACCCAGTGGGTTGCTCGTCATCGGGGGTCCAAACTTGAGGAGGCAATAGGACCTGAACTGCTCCCAACTGAAACCGGGTTCTTCTTGCTCCACGCGGTAGAACCAGAGTTATGCCTCTTCCGTAAGGTGGAAGGCTGCCAGGCTGACCTTGTCTCTGTCATCCGTGCGCTGGTTGCGGAAGAATTGCTCGCAGCGGTACAACCAACCTAATGGGTCTCCGGTGCCGTCGTAAGATGGAAATTCAAGCCGGCTGTACTTGGGGACAACTGCAGTCATCGGTGCTGTGGCTTGATGTTCGTTGGCTGATTCTGTCCCATCCATGCGGCGATTGCCGGTAGAGGCTAGTCCCTCCGAGTTTTTTTCTTTGTTGGAGAGG